GGATGTTGAACAATGAGAACACATGGACACAGGGAGGGGAGCACTACACACTGGGGTCAGTTGGGGGGAAATAGGGGAGGGATGGTGGGGGGTGGGGAGTGGGGGAGAGATAGCAAGGGGAGAAGTGCCAGATGTAGGTGATGGGGAGGAAGGCAGCAAATCACACTGCCACCAGTGTACACATGCAACAATTTTGCATGTTCTTCACATGTACCCCAAAACCTAAAATGCAATAAAATAAATAAATGGGAAAAAAATTAATTATAGACCCTAAAAAAAAAATTGAGAGGGGGCCTTTTTAAAATTACTTTTAGGAGTTAGATCTCTTGACTTCTAGTCCAGAGCCCTATACTCTCTGACTTGTTTCAAACTTTCCACTAATTTTTCTTCCCTTTCTAGATGTTCCTGGAGAATTCCAGGGTCAATGACTTTCATAGCTCAATCATGCTAGTACAAAGATTGTTCACTGCAGTAGCCAGCGGTTGAGACAACCCAAGTGTCCATTAATTAGTTACTATTTAAATAAATTATGCTACATCCATATGGTGGGACATTATGCAGACATTAAAATAGAGGCAGGTTTGTAGATTCTGATGTGGAAAGATCTCCAAGATATACTAAGTACAAAGAGCAAGGTACAGAACTTTTTGTAAAATATGCAACAATTTATGTAAGAAAGAAGTGTCTCTCTGTGTGTGTGCATCTGTGTGTGTCTCTATGTGTGTAGATTAGTCACAAACCTTGGAAAAGACACAAAAAACTGGTAGCATCAGTTGCCTCCAGGGAGGGAGCAAAGTGGCTGGAGGACAGAAGTGGAAAGGAAACCCTTCACTTTACATTCATTTGTTCCCTTTGAAAGTTCAGCCACAGGAATGTATTAATTATTCAAAAAGAAATAAATTTTGTTTTTAAAATATTAATTTAAATGGACCTCATGATAGAAAAAAGAAACTCATTATGACTTGGCAAACACTTAAAACCTCCATTCAAGATGCACGTCCCTGATTCTCTGAGGAAGGTCACAGGCTCTGGGTGCAATCAAGATGAGCCTGAAGGTATTCATTTCTGCTGCTGGGAGCGCCACACACAGCGGCCACACACCACGCTGCTCAGAGTCCCTGGCCCTCCCTGCGGGCCTCTAAGGAACCTCCAGTTTCCTTATGGAGAAAGCGCGGCCATGGGTGAGAGGAGGGGTGGGAGACAAGGCTTTGGAGTGGGGAACCTGGGCTGAAAGCGTGTTCTCCAGCTAGGTCAGCAAACAGTCAGTGTCAGACCCTGGTTACTCCACTGGGAAAAGGGAGTCATTCCTGTTCTCACCTCATGGACTTCACAGTCTAATTAGGAACACAAGCATCAGATAAATTGTCCCACAAAAGCTTATTAACAAGCAGCTCTGACTTGTGGAAGTAAAGGCATCGAGGCTATGAGCCTGTACACCTGGGACCCGTGCGTCTCCTGCCTACTTGTTCTCCAGTCCCCGCTCTGTTTCAAAGGGAACTGCACACCATGAATCCACTGCCTTCCGGCTTCTTAGGAGGAATCCCCAGTAGGATTGGCCACTCTGAATAGGTTCTGGCTTCCTGGGGGTGGGGGCTGGGCCAAGAAGAGACCTTCCTGGAGGGCCTGGACAGGGAGAAGCAAGGTTCCCCACTCCTGCCCTCTGTGACCATTGCAGGTGCAGCTCCTCTATGGCTCCAGCCTTCTCTCTGTGGTCCCTGCCCCCTGCCCCCTCCACTGCGTGGCCCTAGCTTTGAGCTCCAGAAATGCTGCCTCTCTCTTTCACCCCCCATCCCAGGGGCAGGAGCAGACTGACTGCAAAATATTTTTTTAAAAACAATTTTTCAGGATAAGCCAAAATATTCTCCCCATACCTCCCATCTGTGGGTCTGTGGGTCTCCGTTCTACCCACTGAGGCCTCCCAGGGAAAATCTTCATTGGTGTAGATTCTGGGGTAAGAAAACTTTGTGACAAGACTGTTGAGATAGGCCAGGCAGGAGAGGAAAGCAGTGGCTGGATTCTGAGGGTTCTTGGAGGTTGGGCAAAATGGTGTGTTCTTTAATCTGTAGACAGTGAGAATAAAGGGCTGGCGAGAAATCAGAACTCGACCCCCTAATCCCGTACACCTTCTCCACTGCCCTCCGACAGGCAACCCGGTCGTTGGATACTCAAATAATATTTCTCATGACCTTAAGGGTAATGTGAGCCCCTCTGAGGCACTCTGAAGACTGACTGCTTACTGGATTTACTAAACACTTACAAATATCTAGATTCTTGGACCCACCCCTTGAGGCTTGCACTCCCTAGTACAGACTCAGTGTGAAACCTTTGGGATAGGGTGACAAAGCTGACAGCTGCTGCACAGACTGTCCCCTTTCACCTTTGACACCGGAACCTGTCAGTGTTAATAATCAATTCACAGAGGGGGTGGAAAAGGCTGTTATCAGCTGAGGGTGATCTCCTGCAGCCACTCCAAACTCACCTGCCCACCTGCACCTGGATGAGCTCTTCCTGCTCTGGGCCAAGGTGTGTCAGTCTTCTCCTGCACTGGGTCTCACCTCTTCCTTCCCAGATAGCCTCCACCCCACTAAATAGATAGATAGATAGCAGATAGATAGATAGATAGATAGATAGATAGATAGATAGATGATAGATAGATAGTAGATAGTATACAGAGATAGATAGATGATGATAGATTGTAGATGCATAGATATGTAGAGAGAGATAGATAGCAGATGGATAGTAGACAGAGAGAGATAGATGATAGAGACATATAGATAGATAGATAGATAGATAGATAGATAGATAGACAGATAGACAGATAGAGAGACAGATAGAAAAGAATTCCTTCCAGCTAGGTGAAGTGGCTCACACTTGTAATCCCAGCGCTTCGAGAGGGCAAGGTGGGAGGGTTGCTTGAGCCCAGGAGTTTGAGACCAGCCTGGGCAACATAGTGAGACCCTGTCTCTACAAAAAAAAAAAAAAAAAAAAGGGAAAGAAAGAAAGAAAAAGAAAAATTAGCCTGATGTGGTGGTGCATACCTGTAATCCCAGCTACTCGGGAGGCTGAGGTGGGAGGATTGCTTGAGCCTGGGAGGTGAAGGCTACAGTGAGCCGTGATTACACCACTGCACTCCAGTCTGTTTTAAAATAAAAAATAATAAAAAAGGAATTTCTTCCCTCTCCACTCAGTTATCCCTGCACAAATGCATCTCAGTACTGTCTTTCCTGGCCCTCATCCCTCACAGCTGCTGGCCCTTGCCTCTGCTCCCCTCCAAGTGAGACTCCTCCATAAACGTGGCCCCAGCATGTGATGTGTGGACCACTCCCCCTCTGTTGAAACTCAGTCTTCTCTGGACATCTGGGGTCCCTCCCTCCCCTGTTTTCTCTCTCCCAGCCTCTCCTGTGTTTAGGCTGGTTTGTCCTCACCCCTCAACCTTAGAGTGTCCCAGAGCTCCAACCATCTCTCTAGTCACATTTCTCTCTATATGCCCTCCCTGGTGGTTTCATTGTCTCAGGTGATGACAATTCCCACCTGTATCCCTGACCCGGACTCATCTCTCAACTCCAGACTCACATATTTAACTGCCTCCTGGACACTTCCACTTGGAAGACTAGGAGGTTTCTCAAACCAAGCATGTCCAAAACAGAACTCCTGGACCCCCACTACTAACCAGCCCTGGCCACGCACACCCAGACTCTTCTCTCCACAGCCTTTCCATCTGAGTAAATGAAGCCTCTGTCTTCTGAGTGACTTAGGCCAAAAACCTGGGAATGATATTTACATCTTTTATTTTCTCAACAACCCATATCCAATCCATCACTGAGCGCTAGCTGCACTTATTCCAAAATACATCGCAAATCAAACCACAGCTCCCATCTCCAGTCCCCCAGCGTGGCTGTGGTCCAGCCACCATCAGCTCATTCATTACCAATCACACCAATCTTGCCAACTCCAAACTCATCAGGCTTTTCATGGTCCCCTGGGTGCACCAGGCTGGCTCCCGACTCATGGCCCTTGTCCCTGCCATCCCCTCTGCTCATGGCATCACTGTCTTATCTCACCAGGGTTCCAGCACCCATGTCACCTCCTGACACTCTGTCTGATGGCTGCTCCCAAATGCAGAGCCCCTTCCCCTGAATCCCACCACCCAATTCTATTTTCTTCACATCTTCAACAGCATATGAAGTTATTCTATAATTTATTTTCATGTTCATTGTTCATCTTTTCCCTCTAGAATATAAGCTCCATGAGGACAAAGATTTTGTCTTGTCATGGTAGCCCCAGGCACTAACCCAGTTCCTGGCACATCCAGGTGCCCCACACAGATTTGCTGCATAAATTAAGTAATAGGTCAGGCATGCCGGCTCACACCTGTAATCCCAGCACTTTGGGAGGCTGAGGTGGGTGGATCACTTGAGCCCAGGAATTAGAGACCAGCCCAGACAACATGGCAACACCCCATCTCTACAAAATGATAGACAAAATACCCAGGTGTGGTGGCACATGCCTGTAGTCCCAGGTAGTCCTGGCTACTCAGGAGGCTGAGATGGGAGGATCACCTAAGCCTGGGGAAGTGGAGACTGCAATGAGCCATGAATTGCACTACTGCACTGCAGCCTGGGTGAAGAGAGGGAGATTCTGACTCAAAACCAAAACCAAAACAAAACAAAAATCCACAAAGAAATAAATTCTGGAAGGCAAGGCATGTTGACCTGGGCTTCCTCCACGTGGCCAACCTCTGGTCTGTCCTTAGTCTCAATTCAACTTCTAAGTTTCTGGGCAGGACAAATGTTTTCCTGAATCCACCTCCAACAGTGTCCCTGCTTGGACAGCCCAGCCATACTCTAGTTGAATGACTTTGGCCAGGTTTCTTATACTCTCTGAGCTTTGCTTTCCTTACCTGTAAAATGGATAAAATAATGTCTACCTTGTAAGGCCCCCAGGAGAATTAGAATTAAATAATCTATGTAAAGTGAATAAGATGGCACCTGAAACATATTTGGGACCTCAAGAAATTAAATATATTTTAAATAACCAATGGTAATAGCTAACATTCACTAAGTGTTTAAGTCAGGCTAGGTAATGTTTTGAGTACTTTCTACACATTGTCCAAAGTTAGCCCATGAGTTCAGTGACCTTGTTACCCCACACATGGGGAAACATATCTCAAAGTTAAGTACCTTGGTCTTAACTTTGCTATTAAATGGAAGATCCAGCATTCTAGTAACCATGATACTAAGCTACTTGCAATGGTAACTGTCAAATTTATTCATAGCCATTCATTCTTTCAACAGTCATTGATTCGTTCAACTAACACTGATTCATTCAATACACATGCGAGTATGACCTGGCCGTTGAACACCATTCCAGGTCCTGGCATATAACAATCATCACAATATAGTCCCTGATCTTATGTTCTTCCCAATAAACGAGTAAAAAAAATGCAGCATGTCAGATGGTGATAGATGCTGTAGAGACAACTGAAGCAGAGAAGAGGGTGTGGTTTCACACACATGGACGGGGAGGGCCTCCCTGAGACATGACAGCTGAACACGGACATGAAGGAGGAGATTAAAGGGGCCACATGAGTATCTGAGAGCAGCACTCCAGGCACAGTGCTACGTGGAGCCAGGCTTGGCGTGTTATGGAAACATCAGCGACCAGGTGGGCGGATCACCTGAGGTCAGGAGTTCGTGATCAGCCTGGCCAACATGGTGAAACCCCATCTCTACTAAAAATACAAAAATTAGCCGGGTGTGGTGGTGCATGCCTGTATTCCCAGCTACTTAGGAGGCTGGGACAGGAGAATCACTTGAACCAAGGAGGCAGAGGTTGCAGTGAGCTGAGATCATGCCGTTGCACTCCAGCCTGGGTGACAGAGTGGGACTCCATCTCAAAAACAAATACAAACAAAAAACAAAAGAAAAAGAAAGAAACATCAGTAAGGCCAGCCTGGCTGGAGGCAGCGGGGAGCCAGGGAGCAGGCAGCAGAAGGTGAAAGTGGAGAAGAAAAATGAGGGGCTCAGAGTCTTCTATGCCACCATGAGAACTAGGGTTTCCACTGTGGGGGAAATGGCAGCCACTGGGAGATTCCAAGGAGAGGAATGACACTGGCTGACTAATACTTGAACAAGACCCCTCAGTCTTCTCTTTTGCTCCTGGACTGTGGGGGGCAAGTATGAATGCAGGGAGACCAACTGGGGAGCTACCACAACAGCTTAGGCAACCACTGGTAGTGATTTGGACCAGGCTGGGAGCAGTGTGGGTAGCAAGATGTGGTCAGATCCTACCATATTTTGAAGACTGAGTTGGTGAGATTTGCTGATGGACTGGACAGAGATGGAGAGACACAGAGGAGCCGAGGATGCCTCCAGAGGCTTTGGTCTGAACCCTTGCTTTGTACATGATGGTGTATTTTGTGCTAATGTTAAAATTGCATGAAAGTTTTGTGAGAATGTTAAAATTACCTGAAAGTCTGACTTGAAACATTTGCAAATGGGACTGCACACTCTCTGGGCAAGTTTATCATATTAATATATTCCTTCCCAAGATAACCCTCAGCCTGACAGCATTGTTTGATGAAAACATGTGCAAATCCTTTGCAAAGCTGACTCACTGGCCTTCAGAGCAGGACTTTAATCATTGCTTCCATTTGTTTCCTGTGGACAAACAGCAACAGAAGCAAGTGAGATCAATTCTGAAAGCAGAACTCCAGTGCCCCCCAGAACTCCATCTGGGATGCCTGATTCATTGTTTAGAGTTTCTCCAATAGTGTAGAATCTTCCCCGTGAAACCAGAAAGTTATCAGCTCTCAGGGGGAACAAAAGACCAAATACAAGGAAGAATGGTAGGGTGATGAGGATACTGGAGCGCATGTCCCTTGAGAAGTGTCAAAGGGGCTGGAGACTTTAGCCTGGACAAGAGAAGGTCAGAGAAAGCATGGGAGTTACCTTCCTCCATGCCATGCTTTAACTTGGTGCAGAGGACCAGGACGGGTTGGGGGAAGACATAGAGAATTCTATTTCAGTTTGAATTTGGAAAGTGCTTTCATTAAGCTCTGGTAGACCAGAGAACCTACTGAAATAATGACTTTCTCCACGTACCCTTCCAATAAATCTCCAGGCTGACTGAGCCAGTTAGCCAAGATCATGCCTCATTTCCACATCCATCACCCACGTGTCCATCCATTCAAGCCTGTGTACCCAGCTTGAATCCTTGGCCGATCTCTTTAAATATTTATATGCCCATCCACCCCCTTTCATTACATATGCCTAGCAACACCCCAGCTGGTGAAATCTCTGTCTGTCTGGCATCTACAAAGCTCAGCTTGGCTGGAGAAAAACATATAGCTGTGTTGTCCTGTCTCACCTGAAATTCATGACAACTAACCTCGAGAAGTTTTAAGGCTCCCCTGCACAGAGTCTATAGATTCCTGGTTCATCCAGCACCTTCTCTCCTAGAGGACTATTTCATATGTTTTTTCTCTCTCTTCAAATCCCCTTTTTGTCATTCTCAGCTGATGACCATGCTTTCTTTTTCACTAAGAACACAGGAAATCCCAAGAGACCCTTCCTACATGCCCTC